AAATTAATAATTACTATTTGCATCTGTAAATAATAAATCAATAATAATAATAATGTTTCTTGTTTGAAGACATGGCACAATTAGTAAGATTACTCCAAGAGATCTTTATTAAACAAACAATTAATAGAAATTAATTGCTATCATTAAAAATAACAAAATAATATGAAACTGAATATTTTTCAATGGTTAAACAAACACTTTTCTTTGCAAAGGATAACCTCGCATTCACCACTATCAATAATGACAAGCACCATCAGACATGCAAGTAAAAAGCTAACAAGAAATGAAGCGAGCTAAATTATTTGTGAAATAAAATTTGGAATACTCCATCCAAAACATACAGAACTCCTTTGTACGCGTGGGATTCTTTGAAGAAATATCATTAGCCTGACCACTCGAGAAGATAGACGACAAGATTTTCTCTTGAACATAAGGTTAAGAATAAGTAATGCGGAGCAAGACTCAATTAAATAATTAGCTTTGTGTTAATTAAAAAAAAAGTAAATTTGTGGATCAAAAAACCGTCATTACGACAACCTTTTTTTAATCGTAATAACAATTAAACAGACAATAAAATCACGCCAGGCTTCAAAAAATCTGTAATGATAATGTCAACTAATTTAAAAATTATTTATTTATTATAACAGAGTTTACATTCTATAAACTTTTTACAAAGCAAAAAGTAAGAATGTGCGAAATAGCTCGGATTGATTGATGATGGAAAAATGTATCTTTGAACAACGCATTTGGATCTCATCAAGATAACTTAATTAAGTTGGTAAATGGCTGCAATTGAGACATTGCAACCGGAAGAGATTCTATTCCACAATTGGCTGGTCCTAATGGTTTACTGAACCCATATTTTCATTCTATTCATGCATAGCAGTGATTAATATTATTGGAAGATTGCAGTTGCAATTCATTGAACATTTACCAAGAAGGGATAATAAAAAATTATTATATGGGCATATTGCAACAAAACCAAAGTGAACATTATTATGATGTTACAGGGATCAAAATAATGGGTGCTTTATCTTTATTATACATGTAGGATGCCTTTCTTTACCTAATAACATTTACGAAAAGAAGCGTTCGTTATGATAGATAACCTTAATAATTAACATGATTTATAAAGAAAAAAAGGTATCAAAGCAAAAAAAAGAACTTGATAAAGTAACTTTTCTCTAATGTTTGTCGATCAAAATTATTATTAAAAAATAATTGTAGAATGAAATTGTCAAAGCAAGAAATGAAAAGGTAAGTGTTCTAAGCAGTCATTACAATATCAATTCAGAAACGACTAATAAAATGCAGTAGATCTCATCAATTCAATAGACTTTTTTTTAAAAAATTTCGCTAATTTTTTAAAAGGTAAGGGAATCTTATTTAAATAAAATTTTGAATAAAATCTTAATGTTCCTGTGCGAATGTTTTAGATGTCGTTGTAATTATTGTTGTTGTCTGCTGCTGTAATTGTTGATCACGTTGCCGTTGCAGATTTTTGTTCTTATTGAAATTGAGAAGACAATGAGGTAACATCTGGAGCACTAGAGACATCTTCATCATCGTAGCTTAGTTATGGCAAATGTGTGTTGAAATAGGTTTCTAAATACATACATAGTCTATTATTTTTATACCATAGTAGCGAAGGCCTATTTCTTACCAAATTAGAATGGTGACCATGATTGAATTTTATCCACTTTATACATAGTACGATATTTAGATATAGCTGGTCAAGTTATAAGTCTGAATTATTGAATTATTCGTCACACATTCATAGTTGTAACACAAACATTTACCGGCCCAAATTGGCTGTATTTGGTGGACAGTCCTTCAAATTGCAAGGAATCAACTGCGCCACTACATCAATCAAGCTATCATATCACGATGTATGATTTAAAATTCTTTGTGCTAATTTAGAGACCCCATATTTCTTCATATTCACCTGTATAATATGTTGATTTTCTTTTGTGGATAATCAATAACAATCATTATATCGATTTGTAGTCTAGGTTCCAAAATTTGATTATTTTTATTATTTTTGAAAAAAAATTTTTCTACAATATTTTCTGATTAATGGAACAACACTTTCCGGATTGTTTAACCATCTAAAGTTACATGAAATAATATCATAATAATGTTTCTGGTGGTCGCGTGACGACATTTGATCTCTCTTAATTAATTAATATCAATAATGATTAAACTGATAATATTTTCTGGGTAACAGATTGTTTGGCCGCAATCTTTTCTAAAGCTAATTAATTAATGTCAAATGAAAGTTGTGCATGCCTATTATGTACAGTAGATGATATATTGAATCTAATTATTATTTATCGTTATTCATTTATATATTATAATACCTACAATTCTGTATATTTATCTTGGGTGATGAAAGTATGATTATTAACATGTCGTCCTAATAAAAAACGAAAATCATGTTAATATGAATATTTTAATCAGATATATATACACACAAAAACACGCGCATATGTATTAATTGATGATTGTAGTACTTACCATACAATGATATTACTTTGCTTTTTATAATTAAATTAAATAAAATCAATTAAGATTATTCATAAAGAAATAATAAAGATTCTAGAAATCGCTTAATTCTAATTGTACCTTGTTTCACGAAATATCAGTATCCCATTTGGAGATGAAATGTCGAAATTTAATCTTGTAGAACGATTATTTACAAATTCGAGAAAAAATTTGAGAAAAGTTACAGAAAGAGTATCATTAGAACATGCTTCTAAAGCATTATAAAGAACTTGCATATGATCAGGATAAAACCATTCAAAAAAAAAACCAAAAAGTTTTTTCTGTTTTGAATGGCCGAAAGGAATCCACGTT